CAGGCTTATTTCTAGGTTATTGAAGGGCAGTCCAGCTCCTTTCCTTCTTCCACCCCAGACCTCATCCTTCAGCAGTGTCACAGATTCCACAATGTCTCTCAACATCATCACAGTCACGCTCAACATGGGTATGGAGGAGCCTGGCCGGGGAAAGGGGCAGCATGGGTCTCCAGGGGCTCCCCCTTCTCCTTCTTACATGGGTTACCTCCACAGAGAAGTACAACTTCCTGGGCATTTCCATTGTGGGCCAAAGCAATGAGCGGGGTGATGGAGGCATCTACATCGGTTCCATCATGAAGGGGGGAGCTGTAGCAGCTGATGGGCGCATCGAACCTGGGGACATGCTTTTGCAGGTGTGCTGGGTGGGCTGCTCTCCTCACTTGGTCAGGGACAGTGCCTTTCCATCCTGCCTTTGACTCATTTCCCCTACTTCCAGGTGAATGACATGAACTTTGAAAACATGAGCAATGATGATGCCGTGCGGGTACTGAGAGACATTGTGCACAAGCCTGGGTGAGCCTCTGAGCTGGTCTCAGGTCCTTAGGTCTATTGACTCTTTCACCTTTTGTTTTGTTTCTTTTTTTTGGGGGGGGGTCCTGGTCGTGGGGCCTGAACTCGGCCTGGGCACTGTCCCTCAGCTCTTCAGCTCAAGGCTAGCGCTCTTCCACTTGAGCCACAGTGCCACTTCTGGCTTTTTCTGCTTATGTGGTGCTGAGGAATCGAACCCAGGGCCTCATGCATGCAAGGCAAGCGCTCTACCACTGAGCCACCTTCCTAGCCCCTCACCTCTTGTTTTGAAATAAAAAATAAACAAGATAAGACTCATTATGCACAGGAATGTAGAATGAAACAATACTAGTGCGACTACACATATCAGTACCACCTAGATCATGAAACAGGAAAGTGCTGATACTTCAGAAAATCCACTGCTCAACTATCCTCTTTCACTTCCAACCTCCTCCTCCCAGAGAGTAATCATCCTCTTGGCTTCTTTTTTTTTTTTTTTTGGTCAGTCATGGGACCCGAACTCTGGGCCTGGGCGCTGTCCCTCAGCATTTCAGCTCCAAGCTAGCATTCTACCACTTGAGCAACAGCACCACTTATGGCTTTTTGATGCTTATGTGGTGCTTAGGAATTGAACCCATGTTAGGCAAGCACTCCCACTGAGCCAACTTCCTAGCCCCCTCTTGACTTGTTTGGTCAAGAACATCTTTGCTTCATTTGATGGTTTTTCTACTATGCATGAATCCTGAAACAGCATGCTTCCGTGTAACCTGTCTGATATTTGCTGTAAATAAAATTGTACAGCATGTATGCACTCCCTCCTCTTCTCCTGGAGTATGTGTTTGGTTTTGTTTTTGTTGATTGTGGGCTTGAACACCGGGCCTGGGTGCTGTCCTTGAGCTCTTTTTGCCACAGATCCACTACCAGTTTTTTGGTTGTTAGCTGGAAATAAGAGTCTCATGGATTTTCCTGCCTGGGCTGGCTTTGAACCGTGATCCTCAGATCTCAGCCTCTTGAGTAGCTAGGATTACAGGCATGAGCCCCCGGCACCCAGCTAGCAGTGAATTGTCCACATTATAAACAACGACCCCTCTCCCCCTTTCTGTGGCCCAGCCATGTATGTACTTTTCCTTCTCTGTCTCTTAGTCCATTCTAATGCCAAGCCTTGGCCCTCTTTCTTTTTTTGTTTGTTTGGTTGTAGGGCCTTACCTCTTGACCTGGGCGCTGTCCTTCAGATCTTCAGCTTAAGGCTAGAACTCTGCCACTTGAGCCACAACGCCACTTCTGGCTTTTTTTTTTTTTCTGCTTATGTTGTGTTGAGGAATCGAACTCAGGGCCTCATGCATGCGAGGCAAGCACTCTACCACTGAGCCACCTTCCCAACCCAAGTCTTGGGCCTCTTGAGGCCTCTTCTTTGTCTTGATTGGCCTTCTCTTCCCCACAGCCCCATTGTGTTGACTGTTGCCAAGTGTTGGGATCCCTCTCCTCAGGCCTACTTCACTCTCCCTCGAAGTAAGTGATAATCAGGAGTCTGAAGTCAGGAGATTGGGGAGTGGAGAGGCCAAAAGTAGGTCTGGATCTCATACTGTAGGACATGGGTTGCGGCGGGGTGGGGTTCTCAAGGAAGAGGTAGAACAGTAGGCTTGAGTTCTGGAGTGACAGAGCTGGTTTCCTGAAATTGAGAAGTGATTAACTTGGTATCTTTGTCTCAGATGAGCCTATCCAGCCGATTGACCCTGCTGCCTGGGTGTCACACTCTGCTGCTCTGACTGGCACCTTCCCAGCCTATCCAGGCTCATCATCCATGAGCACTATTACATCTGGATCCTCTCTTCCTGATGGTGAACCCCCAGCCCAACTTTCTGGTAGACTGGCCAAGTGTGATCTTCCCTGTTAACCCTGTGCCAGTGGACCCTTTCTCTCATTCTCTATTGTCTCCTCTGTCAGGCTGTGAGGGCCGGGGTCTCTCCATCCATATGGACATGGCATCTGTGACCAAAGCAATGGCAGCTCCAGAATCTGGGTTGGAAGTTCGGGACCGCATGTGGCTCAAGATCACCATCCCCAATGCCTTTCTGGGTACTGCTGGGCCCTGTGCAGTGTGGCATGGGAAGGAGAGGAAGCGACCCCTGGTGCACCCCTGGTGCAGGCAGGGGTAAAGGTGGATATTGGGAGGAGAATCTGAGGCCTTTGGTGGGTGGGAATGTGGCTTAGTGGTGGTAGAGTACTTGCCTAGCTTGCATGAAGCCCTGGGTTCCATTCCTCATAAACAGCAGAAAAAGCCAGAAGTGACACTGTAGTGCAAGTGGTAGAGAGCTACTAGCATTGAGGCACAGAGAGGCTCAGAGACAGTGCCCAGGCCCTGAGTTCAAGCCCCAGGACTGTCAAAAAATAAGTAAATGGAATCGGAGGCCTTTTCCCACTGTGGGTGATTTCAGGCTCAGATGTGGTCGACTGGCTCTATCATCATGTGGAGGGCTTTCCTGAGCGTCGAGAAGCCCGCAAGTACGCTAGTGGGCTGCTGAAGGCGGGTCTCATCCGACACACTGTGAACAAGATCACCTTCTCTGAGCAATGCTATTACGTCTTCGGGGACCTCAGTGGTGGCTGTGAGAGTTGTAAGTCCCCAGCCCTGGCCCTAGGAGAGCAAATCGGTCTACCTTGTCCTGCTTCTATAACAACTGGACTTACAGCCAGGGCTGTCATTGATGATCATGGTAGTGTGTCCTGTACTGGCCAAGGATGGGACCAGGGTGGCTGATAGACAACCAAATTCTGCTGAATAAGCCGTATACTGGCTGCAGAACTGTGTTCCCTGGGGTAGGGCAAAAAGGGCACCTCTTGCTGAGTCCCACAAAAGCATATTGGGTTAGTGGTGGCCCTAACCTATAAGCAGGTTCATGTCAAAGCCCTTGTAACCTCTTTGACCCCTGTCGTAGTGGCTCTGGGGAAATGGTCTCTATTTTTCTCTCTATTGTTGGGAGGCTTGGCTTCTGAAAGCCAAGACTTGTTACTCTTAACCTTTATGTTTTCCAGACCTTGTCAACCTGTCTCTGAACGACAATGATGGCTCCAGTGGGGCTTCAGACCAAGACACCCTGGCTCCGCTGCCTGGGGCCACTCCTTGGCCCCTGTTGCCCACGTTCTCCTACCAATATCCAGCTCCTCACCCCTACAGTCCCCAGCCTCCACCCTACCATGAGCTTTCATCTTACGCCTACGGGGGCGGCAGTGCCAGCAGTCAGCACAGTGAGGGTAAGTCATCCCGATACCAGTGCAGCCAGAGACTCAGGGCACAGTGGAGGGGAGCTAGGGAGGACAGGCTAGAGGGAACAGGGGCTGCCAAAGCCAGAGGACTGGGTTGACGTGCACTTGTTCTATCCCATCTCCCCTCACAGGGAGCCGGAGCAGTGGGTCAACACGAAGCGATGGGGGGGCCGGACGGACAGGGAGGCCTGAGGAGCGGGCCCCTGAGTCCAAGTCTGGCAGCGGCAGTGAGTCTGAGCCCTCCAGCCGGGGGTGCAGCCTTCGGCGGAGTGGGGAAGCTGGTGGGACTGGGAGTGGGGGCCCTCCTCCATCCAGGGGTTCAGCGGGTGGTGCTCCTAATCTCCGAGCCCATCCGGGGCTTCATCCTTACGGCCCTCCCCCTGGCATGGCTCTCCCCTATAATCCCATGATGGTGGTCATGATGCCACCACCTCCACCCCCTGTCCCTGCAGCAGTGCAGCCCCCAGGGGCCCCTCCAGTCCGAGACCTGGGTTCTGTGCCCCCAGAACTGACAGCTAGCCGCCAGAGCTTCCACATGGCCATGGGCAACCCCAGTGAGTTCTTTGTAGATGTGATGTAGAGCCCACTATGGGGCCGTGTTGGGTCTGTACCATGGACCTGGCCACTCTTGGTTTGGTGCTTCTGTTCTGTCAATCATATCTTCATTGTTCCTTACAGTGCCTAGAGGCTGCTGCCTGCCATAATGTTGTTATTGCCACTGTGACTCTCACCAGCAGTGCCTGGTCCTTCCCCTTCCTTCAAGGGCAGGCAAGGAGGGAGGGCCCTTTGGGGTTTTTTAAGCTTTATTTTTTATAAGCCTTTTTGGGGGTGAAAATAGACTTTTCTTATATTTTGGGGACTATTTTTTAAATAGGCATTTCCTCTTTTATATGAAGAATCCCTGTCTCCTAAGTCCCTTCTTACTCCACAATGTGATCTCCTCCAGGCACCCAGGCAGTGCTGTACTGTGCAGGGTGAGGGAAGGGGGTCAGTGGTACTCCAGGAGGAAGAAGGGGGTTAGGTAACCTAGATCGTAGTCCAAGGAAGCTGGGGTATTTGGTATTTGGGGGGCATGTAGTTGCCTTTGTTCTATTTATTTTAGTTACTTGTATAAAACACTAAATAAAGCAATAGAGGCAAACTCCCCAAGCCTCTGGCTCCTTTCTTTGGGAGGGAGGTAGACAGTAGAGGGAAAGAACTGAGAACCAGAAGCAAAGCTTGCCTTGTTAGAAACTGTATTGTGAGGCACCAAGTATTCCTGTGAACAGGCACAATCCTGGGAACACAGGCCCCCTCCAAGGGTAAACAAGGGCACCCAGGATTGGGGGGGAGGGTGGGAAGCTATGTGGTCAGGCCCTGGTTGAGAGAATTCAGAAGCCCAGGGGGTTGCTGGTGACCACACCGCCTCGCTCCACCATTGCCTGGGAGATGGTTTTGAAGTTACGGAAGAGTTCCTGCTGCCGTGGGTCGGACTTCAGAGCAGCCATGTTTTCCCGGATCCGAGCTGAAGCCTGGGAAGAGGGAAAAAGTGATCAGGCCTGTGCCTTCAGCCCCCACCTACCTTGGGTAGTCTCAAGGCTCACCTCAATACACCAGCTGTTACAGAGCATTTTTTCATGCTGGGCTGTAGGGTAGCCCTTATTCAGAGATCTTGAGGCCCTGGCAGGGAAGTAGAAGATAGCCCTGAGGTGTGCCCCTGGCCCAGCACCCTGTGGCTCAGGCCTTCCATCCTGCCTTCTTACCTGGAGAGAACCACCACCATGGCATAAAGGTCAATGGCCCCGTCGGCTAGGCGCTGTAGCAGAAACTGCTCATCTGTCAGGTAAATAGGGAGGATGGGGCCGTAGCTGAGGGAGGGGACATAGGTGTGTGTGTGGCCGGGGAGGGGGTAGGGGTTGTAGGAGGCAGAGCACACTCACTGACAATCCCTTTCTTATGTTTTATCAGCTTGGCCTCCACCACAGTGGCAAACTGCTCCAAAGCCTGCACTGCCTGAAGAGATGGGGCGGGTACGTAGCTCAGGAGCCATCCATGGCAGCCCTTACTGCAGGCTCTGCCCCACCCCTGACTACTCACCAACTCACCACTCTGACTTAACTCCGGGTGGATAACTCCACTGAGACTCAGGCCACTGCCCAGCCCTGCCCGCCTGGGAAGAAGAGGGAAGAAAAGGTTGCTACACGCTACCATCCTGCCCTCCCCTGGCCTGTCCCCTGAACTTACCGCCTCAGCTGTTTCCCTGCCTCTCCTAGGAGGAGGCCAGCATTCCCAAAAGGATTCTTTAGGGCATTGCCAAGCCCAGAGAGTTCCTTGCCTTTGTCCTGTAGGGCAGAAGGGTGGAACAATCAGGAATCCCTGTGATCCCCAGCTGTTTACCGTAATCCCATCTGTTCTCCCCGTTTCCCTTCCTTACCATACAGCCCTGAAGAGCCACAAACAGCCGAAGAATGTCATTTGTTCCCTCGAAAATCCGGAAGATGCGAGTATCTCGGAGCACGCGCTCTACCCCAGGCTCCTAGCACAGGGGAAGACACATCGTGAGCCTCTGCTGAGATGAGCACGTCTGCTCCACCCAGCTGCCCCTGCCAAAGACCCGCCTGCACCTTCATGAAGCCCATGCCACCCATGATTTGGATGCACTCGTCTGTCACTTTCCAGGCAGCCTCCTAGGGACAAAATGCCAGATGAAATTGGTTTGGGGGCTGAGCTGTCAAACCAGACTCTCCCTCCTATCATGTCAGAGTCCTTACCGAGCTAAAGATTTTGCTGATGGCAGCCTCAATCTGGAAATCTGTGGATCCTTGGTCCATGTTGGCACTCAGCATGTAAGCCATGGACTGAGGTGGTATGGTTGGGACATGGGAAAGAAAATTGTAAAGGGCTGTGTCAGACACCCAAATCTTCAAGACCAGGTCTGATCTCATCCCCCAGGGCCCATTGCATTCACCTTCTAACTCTATGGTTAAGTACATCTAAATATGTGGTCCTCTGACATGGTACACCAGGGGCTTCTGAACATTGGACTTCTTAAAAAGGGAAGGAGATGAGTGAGGATGGAGTAGATGAACTTTCAGTATCTTTGGGAAGCACCTCAGTGGAACAGCATTACCTCCTTTACAGAAGCTGGACTGACTATGCCTCCCCGCATCCCCTAGGGCATTGGTGTAAAGCTGGAGACCCACTGCCCCAGGTGCTGCTGGGAGTTGTAGTCTGACCCGACCCTGAAGAAAGCCCCACATGGCTCTAAAGAGAGGCATTGGCGTCCCCTCACCTCAGTCACATACTGGAGCATAGCCATCCGAGCCAGCTTTTCCTGGATCAGCCCAAAGTTGTGAATTTTGTCCCCAAACTGGGTACGATTAGCAGCATGGTCTACCTGGAAGAGAGCATACAAATCCATCCTACTATGGGTCTGTAGTCTTGTCTAGGTGGGGGCTGGGATTAGACTGGAGGAATGGGCTTTGGCAACAACTAAGAGTTAAGTCCACACCTGCTGGAGACCTAAGCTAGCAGGTCTGGAGCTGCCAGGAGGGGAGGGGTCTCTAAAGTGGAGTGTGCCTGCAAGGGAACAGGGACACATGGAAAGGGGGACAACATGATTTGCTTAGGCCAGCTTTGGACTTAGGTCTGAATATACTCAGGATACGCACCGCCTTGGCAATGATGGCTTTCATGGTGCCAGCCAGTGTTGCAGCCATCCCAAACCTTCCATTGTTGAGGATGTACATGGCGACCTTGAAGCCACCCCCAACCTCACCCAGTACATTCTCTGATGGCACCCGAACTCCATCAAAGTACACCTCTGTAGTGTTTGAGGCCTTGATGCCCATCTTCTTTTCTGGAGGTCCACTGTGATAGGGCAGGAAAGTCAAGGTGAAAACATGATTGCCATGTTTCCTTCTTTCTTTTCTTCCTTTTTTGTTGGTCATGGGGCTTGAACTCTGGGCTTGGGCGCTGTCCCTCAGCTCTTCAGCTTAAGGCAAGCGCTCTACCACTTGAGCCACAGCGCCACTTCCAGTTTTCTGGTGGTTTATTGTAGATAAGAGTCTCATGGATTTTCTTGCCTAGGCTGGCTTTGAACTGTGATCCTCAGATCTCAGCCTCCTGAGTAGCTAGAATTACAGGTGTGAGCCACCGGCACCCCACTTCCCTCCATTTCTTTTTTTTTTTT